AAAATCTGATAATTCATTTAATTTTGAAATGAGTTTAAAAATGGTAGGACTTAAAACCCATGTCCATATGAAGCTCCCCTTCAAGGATTTTCAGAGCTTTTTTCATAGGTTCCATAACCTAAAATTTATTTATATCACTAAGATAACGATTATATTAATATTTACTTGACTATACTCTTTAATAAATTTACGTTCTTGGGAGTTAAAACGTATAAGCCCATGGTTATCACACAACTCATCAAGGTCCTTTTGTTTTTCATCTAACATTTTATCTAGCAAAACCATAGACTCATAATACGAATTCCGCCTAGTGGAATTTGGGCATATTAGATACCTACCCAACTCTCTGATAATTTCGTCCGCCATATTTGTAGACATATTTTGTTTATTCCACAAAGATTGACACTTTTGGAATAAACTTTGAGATACTATTTGAAAGCTTCTATCCCCTAAAGCTTTCTCTGCATCAACTGTTGCCACCAAATTAAGATTGTGACAAGCACATCTTGAATGTTGAGGGAGATAATCAAAGCTTTCTGCCCTATTATTTAGGATATCATCAATATCCACAAATTGGAAATCATCATCAATCTCAGAACTTTTATCTTCAAACATTCTAAAAAATAAAAGGAAAGTTATAATTTTAAAATAAATATTTGAGATTACCTGAATGCCTTCACAAAGTTCCTACCATTATCAGTAATGGTTTTTATCAATTTATTCTGAATTTTAAAGCTTTTATGTATATCAATTATCATCTTAGCCAAAACATCAAAAGTATGCTTGCCTTGAACACGTCTTAGGGCTAAAGCTGCTGATTTTCTTTGCAATTATTTTGTGTCAATCCAATAAGCAGTTACACCCAAAAAAGACCTTTATAAGTTAAATTAATCAAGCACATTTAAAAATATAGGCACTACCTTCTAAATCCACTCCAGCAATCAGCTGTGGTACACATATAAGATACTCCAGAAATCATTTCTATAATATCATCCATCATTTTATCGGCGGCACATTACCTAAGGGGAAAACGTTTTTATCATTTTGACAAAGCTAGGATTATCTACAGTTGATAAAGGAACTAGTGTCTCAATGACATAACCAATGATTGCATTATCTCCTTCAGTTTTTGTAGGTTCATATGTTTTTTGACTAAAATTTAATATTGACTGTTTTTTCTCAGAAGAGGAAGACTTTATATTTTGGCTAATATCTTTTTTATTATAACTATTGATATGATTTTCAATTTTTGAATATTGATTATCATGTACTCTCTAAATAAAAATTTATAAATTAAATTAAAATTTATTTTATAAAAATCAACTTTATTTTTAACTGATAATCTAAAACATCAAATTATTAAGGTAGATTTTTTAAATAAGAAATTGACAAATATTTAATGAGCAGTATAAATATCTTTTTAGGTACTTAATTTTTTTTTAATTATTTTGTTTTACTTATTTTATTAATATAAAATAAAAATAAATAATTATTTTCCAAGTTTATTGATCAAAATAAAATAAGAAAAAATCAAATTAAAATTAAATAAAATATAAATTTTACCATAATAAAATGTATATTTTTAATTAGGATGTTACAATTCAATTTAAAAAATTACTTTAAATTTAGAAAAAAAATGTATAAAAAGGAGGTTGAACAAGTAATGAGAAAATTAAAATAAATATAAAAATATAAAAAAGCAACATATCTGACAACCCAAGCTCAACTAATGTAATGAATTGCCCAAAAATAATTAAAACCATTTAAAAAAATTATTATAAAATAAAAAATATTGATTTTACCTTAAGGTGTTTTTTTAAATTAAAGCTGCTAGTAAGATAAAATATTTACTGTAATATATTATATAACTGTCAAATACGTCTGTAAAAGTGGCATTTTACCTAACATTTTATAAATAATTATATATAATACTTATTTGGATTTGGAACTGAAAATAATTTTAGAAAGAGACATGATAATTAAATTTAAAAATCAATAATAAATTATAGAAATCGTTCAGGCCAACGTGCCCTTGTTTTTGAATAGAAACTGAGCTGAAAATACCAAAAAAATTTTTAAATTTTGTTCTCATTCAAATCTAACATCCTACCTTTTTAACCATCCTTTCCTATTTAAGATCATCCATTAATATAATTTTTTTCATTAAACTTATAATTTATTCATATTTATTTATTTAAAATAATTTTGTTAATCAATTTTTCAAAAATATTTGAATATTAAAATTAAAATAAAGATTTTTGTTAAACAAATTAATTGAATCAATATTTTTTGTCGGAAATGTCAATTTGAATTTGTTATCCTAAATCAAATCTCAATCTTATTCCCAACTTGATTTGGTAGAGTTTAATTGACGCCCGTATAGGCTGGACGGATGGACGATAATTTGACATTAGCTATATTACTGAGCCCCTCTTAATTTTACAATATAAGATGATAAGAAAGTTGATAGATAAAGCAAGTTAACATTAAGCAGTGTTTTTTTAAGAGCTACTATTAAAAGTAGCGTGTTATTAGCTATTTTTTACGCTACTTTACAATTTTATTTTAAATATTTCTTATTATCTCTATTTCCATCAAATTTGATTTTAAAGATTAAGTATTAAATTTTTTGATATATTAATTTTAAATGTTTTCGTTGAAGCTACTAGTCTTGTCTGATGATAAAACTGGCACATCTTGCAATATAATTTATACCTTGTGTTAATTTTTTTTATCAAGATTAAAATAATTTGCGAATTCAGAAAAAAAGAAATTCCATATTGGAAATTACTTTATCAATATGATCTGTACCAAATTTATCTTCAATATCACTCTCTATCGTCGACATTTTAAATTATTTTGAAAACTATTATAATGTAGATTTATAATAAATAATATAAATTTAAATTTTAAAATTAAATAAAATAAAATTTTCACTTTAGAATTAATTATAAATATTTAAAATTTTATGTAATAATATTAGAAAGTAGTCTTTAAATTTTATTAACATTCCATCATATTATAGTTTTTAATATTAATATTAACATAAATTAATATGTTTTTAATGTATAAATTCAACGATGTAATATTTATTCTTCAGCCTACTTTAAGTCAGAAATCGGCTCAATTATAATATTTTTAAAATATCTTTGGGATAATGTTTTAAACTTAAATAATGTAAGCATTATAATGAAAGGAGATATTTCGATCATTACAAATTTGATATTTTTCTATCATTAACTTATTTCAGAAATTAAATGTTAAAAATCATATCATTTTAAAAAAGTTTTTACATGCAGCTACACCCAAATATAAAAAAGCGATAACCAATAATAATACGAGTTTCGTAATATATTTTAATATTTATACATTTAACTCTTCTTTTTGAGATTCATTTATAAAATTTTAAATTGATAAATAAATTTTGAGTTGTAATAAGCTATTAAATATATATTTTTTCCTTTAATAATATTAAAAAAGTTTTATGTCGTAATAGATCCTTAATCTTTAGTTTTTATTTGATAAAAAATGATTTATTAAGAAATATAAAAACATAGGTTAATCTATCACACCTGTTCAGAAAGCATTTTAAATAAACTTTCTTTTATGCCCAGGTTCGATTATTAAATAAGCTGTTTCACATACCAAAAAATTTTTTTTAAAATTACCAAATAGTGCCTACACATCTCACATTGTAATGAGGAAGGAAAAAATGTAAATTTAATTAATTTGGTGGAAGAATGAAGATCAAGAAGCCAAGATTCAGAATAAGGAAAATAAGCCTGAGCTTTCAAAAACAAAATGGATAGGTAAGATTTATATGTTATCATATTGCAAGTATTTAACGGATTTAAAGTCGATTCGAGTCAATTTTAAAAACGCGAAATTAATCAAAATAGTATGATGTAAGTCTGGAAATTTTTCTCATAGACGGTAGAAATGTTTTGCCAAATGATAAGGCTTACATAATATTATCTTGTCTAATATCTTAAACAAACCAAATTTACTCATAAAGATTGTTACTAATAATGGAAAAATTTTCTTTAATTATAAACATTGTTACTAAATTTCATTTTTGATCTCTTGTAAAAATTATCTTAATACATTTTAAAATGATCGATAGCTCATAAACACCTAACTAAATACTTTGTTGGTATTATCCAATTATATATCTTTACTTTTTTTAATGCGTATATTTACCTGTTAAACATAATTGGATTATGCGTATCACAATATTTTTAAGATATTTTTTGGTATAATGTTTTACACTTAATTACAACGATAGAAAACTAAAATGAATATTTTTTAATGGATAAAACCAGCAATGAAATATTTAGTCTTCGGCCTACTTTAAGTCGGAAATCGGTTAAATCATAAAATCCTAAAAATATTTTGGGATAATATTTTACATATAAATAATGTAAGCATAGAAAACAAAGAAGAAAATATTTCGATCAATAACACTTGCAATGTGTACCTTACAAATTTGCAGGTGTTTTCGATACTAAACTTACTCAGAAATTAAATGTAAAAAACTTTTAAATTTCTCATGTATCTACACCCAAATATAAAAAGCGCTAATGCAATAATCATTTTGGTTTTGTAATATGATATTATAATATTTATATAATTAACGTCCTCTTTTTGAGATATATTTATTTAATTTTAAATTGATAATTATTTTTTGAGTTATAATAAGCTAGTAAATATATATTTTTTCTTATAATATTAATTAAAAAGAGTTTTATATAATAGTAGATGATTAATCTTTAGTTCTTATTTGATAAAAATTGATTAAGAAATATTAAAACATGTTTCTGAAAATTGCCTTAAAATATTTTTATTTAATAAAATTTATAATTAATTATATTTTATTAATGCAGCAAAATAATATTATGTAGATCTGGAGATTTTTCTCATAGACGACAGAAAGGTTTGGACAGCTATAAATGACGGGCTGACATAATATTTTTTGATTAATATCTTTAATAATACCAAAATCACTCAAAATTTCTGTTACTAAATGGAAGAAGATTTTCTTTAAAGTTTTATAAATACATATAGATTAAATAATTAATGAAAACTCCTGTTATTTGCCTTCCTTGTAAGATTTTTAAATCTATACCAAAAGGGTTTAACCAACTGGAAGAAAGTTCTTGTATACAAGGGACTTGAGAATCATTATAATTGCAGAATATAGAGAAGGAAAGAATTATAAGAATATTAGATTTCCAATTTTTTTGTATAAACTAATTGGCAAATTTAAATAAATTTCAATTTTCTAGACATTTAAAACCTTTAGAAACTAATATTACTAGAGAGGAATTAATAATAAAAATCAAGATTGTTAAAGGTTTAGAAATTAATACTTTTGAACAAGAAATTTTTTACAACTACTAGTTATAAGTCAACTTTTTTACCTTTATTTAATCAGATAAACATGATTAAAGAAAAATTAGTTTTATCAAGACATGAAAAAAATAACCGAAGCTAAATGTTTTAAAGGTATTTAAAAATGCATTTCAATCAAAATGTTTTGTTAAGGATTTTATATATTTTAGTTATACAATGCTCAATTATTGACATAATGCCAATTTTAATATAGTTATAAATATTTCTAAATATATATTTATAATTTAATTCCTATACAAGTACAATTAAACTATATCAAAGTTATTATATCTATTAAATCATGAAATCAACTTGTTTCTTTCCAGCTATTAGTCAATTCTTATTTGCCATCTAATTTTATAAACATATTTGATCATTGTATATCTTCTTTATATGTCATATTTTTCAAATTAAATCATATATTTCAATTTAATGTTCAAATAACTTAATTATTTGTTTATGGTTTTGAAAAAAACGTTTTTAACTGTTCCTCCAAAATTTTTGTCTGTTTTCCGAAATAGGTGAAGTAGAATCTGGCAAAGGTTGTTTAATTTTATCTAAACTGTCTAAAAATAAAGGTTAAAACTTATAGACAAAAAAATCGAAAAAATAACAAAAAAATAATAATGCTACCAAACACATAAAATACATCAAAATAAAGTGAGTTAGTTCAAATGCTGTTTATCCTTAATTACCAAAAATAAGTCTAGACTGGGCAAAGGATATATTTAGGTTTCAAATTCTTCAAAGTTACTTAACTCTTAGTTCCTTTCTTTTCAGTGTTACCTCTATATAAAGATTGATTGTATCATATTTTGACATTTTATTTATTCCTTGTCACCTAAGCAACTCTCTCTGAGAGTTAAAGACGAATCATTTTTTTAAATGATATAAATATAGATTCAATCCCACTATTTATCCGGTATAATTATTAAATAATTTTTCACATTTAGAAATCCCCCTCACTCTTTCTAATTACGATTATATTCAATCAAAACAAAATACACTTGATAACCTGTTTTATAAATTTTATTAAATAATCAATCCCATAAACTATATTGGAATAATGATTTATAATTAATTGCAAAACCCAAGTCATATAACGAAAAAGATTTTATATAATTATAAAAAATACATGCAAATGTAAAATTGTTGAAAATTTAATTCTTCTTCTCTTGGGCTAAATTGACTTTTGTTCCTTTATTATAAATACATATTGATAATATATATTTTGTAAATCTTAGTATAAGTTTTGAAATAATTACTATTTATTGAAAGAAATTAAAAATAAATTTATTATATTTTAATAGTGATTTTAAAATGCATAAATCCACCTAATTTTATGACAAAATATTGAAATTAAATGATGAATTATACGAAAACATTTATTATATTTGTATACCATTATGCTTTATAGTATAATAAGGTTTCAATACTAAAATAAAATATATTAGAATAAATATAATTCATTATAAATTTATTATACCTATATGGGTTCTAATTAAAACAAAGTCCGAGACTGAAATAATTTTTTTTTAAATTGATTAGTGATAAAGATCTTAAATTATATTGTATACCAGGCACACTGATATTTTTGTTATCTAAAATATAAAAATGAATTGTAATATTTAATATAATAGTTATGTAAAAATATTAACTAATTTTTTAAATCTTAATTTGAACAGTTAATTAAATAAATATAATTTTCTTTTTACCGAAAGATAATATTAAGATTCCATTTACAGGTTCTAGATTTGATTAATGAAATATATAAATCTTAAATTATGCCTGGATGATAACAAAACTATTTATTTGATGTTGTTTTTTAATGATTAAATAAAATTTGGATATCAGTTTTAATAAAAAAAATTATATATACCTAGTAGTCTTTCTAACTCTTTTTTATTTTTCAAATTAAATTTTTTTATATTAACTTATTTTAACATTATAAATTACCGATGAAGCCTCCTCCTATCACAATTTACATAAATAATTTTTCGAATGAATAAATATAAGATGAAGTTAAAATTATACCTGAGGTAAAATCCAATTTTTTTTCAGTTACTATATATAAAATAGTTAAAGACAATATATCGTTTATTATCTGTAACTTAAAAAATAAGGAGAGGTCTAAAAAGCAGTATACCTAGTATACGATCATTAGCACGATCGTATCTGTAGGTCATAGTAAAAGACATAGATAACTAAAAACAAAACTTCAATAGGATGCCAAAGGAAATGGTATTGAAATTTGTAAAGGCCCACTATATTCTTAAGAGATTACATGAATCTGCCTAATATGGTTAGTGACAATGTTTATTATGAGTAGCATGCAGGCAAAGAAAATACATAAAAAAATTTAGATGTCTAATATTAATATCATATCGATGCGTAAATGGAGGGGAAGTAGAATATGGAAATAAAACAAATATAATTTTTTTTTTTGGATATTTGGTAATAGGCAGGCAATGATGATAGAAAATAAAATAAAACAAGGATATACCTGGCGTGATAAAAGGAGAACGAACATGCCTATGAGGTCGAAGTAGATGAAAAGATAAAAAAAAACATGCCAATCAAAGATGAATGAATTAGATATACCAAATATCCTGTAAAGATTTAAATCTGGAAGAAATAAGCTTGGAAGAGAAAAATAGAGGAATTATAATAGCCAAATAAATTTCAAAAAGAATATAAAGTAAATTTGAATAGAAAATATGGATAAAGTGAATTTTAATGGAAAATATAAAATTTATTTCTAAAGATATTCAAATTCAGAGTTTGATATTTAGATGTTAGCATCAATGTGCTATTTTCGGAGTGGTAGTGGTTATTTCGGTAATGTATTCTATTTTATAAATTAATAAATTTATTATTCATTTGTTACAAATTAATTTTTATTATTTATAAAATTTTTATATTTCATAGATTTTGTTAGTTATATTATTTAAATTTTAAGATGGTTAAACTTTTATATTATTTTATTTAATATATTTTTCTGAGATAATTTTTATAATGTATTATTATTTTTTAAATATTTTTTTTGAGGTTTATTTTGATGTATATTATTTTTTAAGTATATTTTTTGAGATAATATATTTAAATAGTTATATTATTTTATATTTTTTTGATATGATTTATTTTAATATGTTATATTATTTTTTTATATTTTTTTGAGATGATTTATTCTAATGTGCTATATTATTTTTTAAATATATTTTTTTGCGCAAGGTCTATAAGAGGTTGCATGATACGAAAGGATAAAAAATAATATAGAAAATAAAAACATCAAAAGTTTAAGTGTTAGCTTTTTCCCACAGAATGTTATCGCAACTTTTTGAACCGAAAACCTAAACAAATATATTAAAAAACATATTTGTCATTTACTACATCCAATACTGAGAAGCCGCCAACAGAGTTAAACCCTTCTCGGTAGGTAAAACTTCAGTGTAAATTTCTATATGTATTTTCTCATCTGTTTTGTCATATCTGTATCTTTGTAATTACCAGCGATCTGAATCGAAACGAATATCGGGGTTTAGTTTTAAGAAAAACAAAATAAAAACAAGAAAAAAAATACGAATAATAACAATGCCACCAAATTTAAAAAAAACAAAAATTGGGTGTTTTAAAAAGATTTTTATCCTAAGAAACAATTAACTATCAAAATTAAGTCAACCCAGGACACGATCTAAGCTGAAAAATATTTAAATGTATATAAAATAGTGATATACTAATGGTTATAAAAATTATATTAAATGTTATCAATATACTAATAACTTTCATATAATTTTATAATCATAAAATCATGAGGTTCGAGGTTCAAAAGCAATATAGCGGTTCCGTTTCATTTAACATCAGGTTCGTTTCAGATTCTATAAAAAATACCGGTTTTACGGCCCTGTTTAGGTTTGGTTTGAATACCTGATACTTACTGACAATTTAGTTTTGAAAAATACTTAAGAAAATAAATAGAATAAAAATATAATTTTAAAAATTCCATTTTTTAAAAATTGTATTTATATAAATCATGATCAAATATAATATAATTTAATTAAAAATTTAATTTAAAAATTAATATTGTAAAATTAAATTAAAACCGCAAATTATAACAATGAATAAAAAAATTAAAATGTTCTTAAAATCTCCATTTTTTGTTATTATAATCAACAAATTTGTCATTAATCATTTTCTTTAACATTATTTTATAGCCTTTCGCTTACAGACCTTGCGGAAATTTAATGGTTATTAAAATATGTTTTTAAATTATTATATTGCAACGAATTTTTAGAAAGATAAAAATTTTTATGGATATGATTTAGACTATTTATAAATATTATTTAGGATATATAATTTCCTTCACATATAATCTCTTACATTTGGGCTTCTTTTCTTGTTCTGTTTTAGAAAAATATTTACTTCAGAATAAATTTTTATATTTTTATATTACCTAGATTAAGAGTGAGGTTTCCGTTTACCACTTCTAGAATATTAAATTATATTGCAAAATCTGTCTATAAATTTACTTATCCCAATCCACATATTTGGACCTTAATATTTAATATTTTTAAAGTAACATTGAGTTCAATATTTATTAAATGGTAAAATAATATACTTTCGATGAAATACTCTACAACATTTAAGTACTCTATAATAAATATATATTATATTCAAATGCATATTTCTAAAAAAATATATATACTATTTAAGATGGATGGAATATTTTCTATATTTATAAAAAGAAGGTGTAGAGAATTATTAGTTCAATGTTATTAAATACACACATAATCTACAATTTTTTAATTAATTTATTGATAAACCTAATGTGGTTTTTATAATATCGCCATCTATAAATAAAGAATATATTTAATTGCAATGATAAATTTAATATCTTTTAATTTAATAAATATACTTTCTTTTCTGCAAGTGATATTGACTAAAATAAATATTTAAATTTAAAAATATTTATATCATTCGTTAAAATAATAGCTTACCTGAATCTCTTTCACAAATCATTATATTTTTAACTAAATAAAGGTATTTTGATGAAAAATAATTAATTAACATGATGATATTGATTCATTATTTAAAACTGATAGAACTTAATAATATTTGGCCTACGTCTTCGATAACTTTAAAATTGCGAAATTATGTATATTTACGAATTTTTTTATATTTTGCTAGCAATATAATAATCGGGAAAATTAAAGTTGTAAATAAATTTCTGCTGTTAGGTTAAAAATTTGAAATCTAAAAATATTAATTTATTTATTATTATTTTGCTACAATATATTAATCGGGAAAATATATGTTTTAAATAAGTTTTTCTGCTGGTAGGTTGAAAATCTAATATTAATTTTTATAAATTCATTTTTGTAAAGATTTTTAATCAATTTTTCTCATCTCAGAAAAATTTCTTAACATTTTATTTCCGATAAGAAATTATACCTTTTGAACAAAATTTTTACTTTTTTAATTTATTAAAATTTGGCCCATTTGAATTCGAAAAGGAATGCTAGGAACAAAATTTCTTTTATAAAAAATTCTCAGAAATTTAATAGACATATTATGTGATATCTATCATTTTAACAAACAAAAATATTTAGTTTCAACTTTTCAAATTTAAAAAATAAATAAAAATATATATTTACTTAGATCTCTCATGTCCACACCTGATAAAATAAATAAATATCTGAAATTACTTTAATTATATTCTTAAGTTATAATAAGAATCTTATATTTAATAAAATTGGCATCTATTTTTTTAGTCTATAGCTGATAAAATGATATAGAAGCCAATGGAAGTAGTAAATAAATATTTTTATGCAAAAATACAAATGCGGCCTTTTATTTATATAGATCTAGGTTTTTTTAAAACTTCAATTGTTTTTTGATTGAGGCAATAAAATGGTTTTAAAAAGAAAGTCTATATATTTTTTTTAAGAAATCATTTTTTATTTAAAAAAAAATATATATATTAACATATAAAATTATATTAAATAACACATGAAAAATATTTGAAAAATGAACAAATATTTTATTAAAAGGTAAAAAAAAATTTATATATATAAAGGAGAATGCTAAGTTGAGACAATAGGTGTATTTATTTTGTTGTGTTTATTAATATCTGATATGAGTTTACAATCTAGCGTATGGCCACAAGTTTGCGACCTGATTACATTTGTTTCAAGTGGTTTAAACGTGGTATACCCAGGCGCAAACCGAAAAGTTGCGTTTAATTTTTTAAGATACTGGGGTAGGAATCAAGCCATTAGATGAAGAAATGAGGACAATTTAATTCAGATCTCACCTAAGCCTATAGATTTGCAAGAAGAGTTGCCTGAAACCAGGAGTTAGAATATTTAATAACTATTACATTATTTTAAAAATGTTTGTTCGTAGTCTAAAGAGTTTCAAATGCGAAACCACCAAGGCTTTTAAGCATTAATAAATATGTGAAATTAAAAGAGTATTTTTGAGAATAAAATAAGCTTGATTGATCGGTAATTTACTTAAAACTGGTAGTATGAGGAATAATGATTGTAGATGATTATTTAAAAATTTGAAAAATCCTTCTGTACCTCATGAGACTCCTAATATAATAAAATATTTATATGTTGCTTAATATTTTTATTGATAATTTTTTTATTTTATTTTTTTTTTCTGGTCATGGTTAGTTTATTTGAATATTTACTAATATAATATGTTGTTAATATGTAGTAGCAAATAATTTTGCATATATTCTTTACTGAGCTTTTTTCTGTTGATAGATTGATATAAAATAGGATGGTTTAGAATATTTATATTTTAAATAATTTTTTCATAAATTTTTTTATAATATATTAATTTTATTCAAACTTAAGATGTTATCAAATTCTTATTTTATATAGATAAACGATTGTGTGACATACTATTGATTATATTGTAACAAGATAACAATTGAAAAGAGAGTTTTTTTATTGTGAAATTTAAATTACAATAACTGGAAAAATCAATTAGCTCTGTCCTGACGTCAAAGCGGAGATAGCATTATCATAATATTTTAAGAGAATCAGATTCCAAAATTTAAAAAAAATTTAAGCAAAAATATAAAAAAATATATAATTGGTTAATTATGATAAAATTATTGAATTTAATGTAATAAATTAGAAAAATATGGACATAAATATATTTTAAAAAGCTAATCCTTTTTTATAAGTGTTTAAAAACAAAGGTAAGGGTTAAGGTCCACCGGCATATATAAAGTGGATTCAGGAGCCAATGCTTTTTACTAAAGAAAAAAACATTGTGTAAAACTAATAAATCCGGAATTATTGGCTATACAAGGAGAGGGAATAAGATATAATTTGGTATATAAATGCATAATAAAATCTGTTAAGTAGACCAGGGACTCTACCTGTGATAGATCAATATAAGTAAATACCCTTGTTTGCATTACCTCAAAAGTTAAGATCATTTATTTTGGTATTTTATAGATAAGTTCACTTCCTTTTTCAATAAGAGCATTAAACACCATTCCATTACGCTCTAATCACCTAAAAATATTTGGATATGGTTTTGTTGGGGAAAATATTTTAATGCGGTCGCAAGATATAAAAATTCAAATGCCACATATATTTGAATCATACTACATTATAAAAGTTTTATAAGGAAAGTCATCAGGAGTAATGATTTAAATAAGACTTCATAGAATTTTACATAAATATCAAAAAGTGAAGGAAGATGTGTCTAAAAAAAATCTTATCAGGACATTTAAAAAGTTATTTATAATAAAAATGTTTATATATTTTAATTAAATACCATTCTGTTGTAGAAGATATTCTTTAATTTCTAAAAATAATTTATTTTTTGGAATTATTCTAGGATGCAAGTATTAATTTTAATTTACTTGTTAAATCACTCTTAACAACTATATATTTTGAGACTAAAATAATATTATAATTAAGGAATTATTTATTAAGAATCCATTTATAATTTTGTACTTTGTTCACGAAAGGTTTTGTTTCCTAAAAAAAGAATTTTATATTATAATTGCTATTGACATTTAAGTTTGAATTTAGGTGTATAAACCTATCGTTGTAATCATTTTACATGAGAGAAAATATTATATAAAAGCCTATACGTGTCAACAACTAAGGTTAATATTTTATATTTAGAATTATATATTGCCTATAGTAATTAAATTTAAAAAAATATTAATGTATAAATTATTACCTATCTGTATTACTATGTTGCCGTTTATAATAGGTCCTAGATTTAATAAATTTACATACATATTAGTATCTACTAAGACTTGTAATAAATTTAAATGATAGGTAGGCATTAATGAAGACATGAGAGAGATAGAGGGTTGGGGATATCCCCTATGAAAAATATTATAGGGTTAATTGATTAGTTTTTTAAAAACATATATATATCTAGAAGAAAGGTGGAGTTGAGGTTCCATTTGGTAAAATAATGGGGTAAAATTTTATTTAATTATATTTTTTAATTTTAACATTGATTAACCCACATCCCCCACCTTAGAAATATTAATTTGTTTCTTTTATAAAAACTCTTTGGTATTCTTACATTTAAAATGTAAAGTATTCTGAACTATGAATATATTATTCTAATAAAAAAAGTTTTTCAAAAGACACTATAATTTAAAATTATCAAGGATTAAGTATTCTGTATTTTGAAAGTGCTTCTTATATTAGAATTAGACATTTTCTATTTCCATGTGTAGAGGCACATTTAATATTAATTTGAATTTATTAATCAATAGCTTTGCTTGAGGATAAAATTAATCTATTGTAATTGTTTATTTTCACAATAATTAATCCCTCTTTTTAGTATAACATTTTTCAAAGAAGCCATTAATTTATTAATACTTGTTTATACGAACAACAGCTATTATTAATTTATTTTTTATTATAAGTTTTTATTGCCTCTAAATTTGGGTTCTATATTGATTTATGATGCTAATTTTGAAATTGTTTTATTTTGCTATAAATTTTCTTTAATCTATCAAATGAATCATCAAACATAAATATACACCAATTAAGTGATACTTAATAACTTAATAGGCTTCCAACTTAATGTGGGCTAGGCAAATTTTATGCATAAGTCTGCGTTTTAAGGTGATTCAGATTCATGTCAGACTTTAAAAAAAACTAATAGAATTAGATTTTATCTATAATACTTCTATATTTACATAAATAGAAAACAACAAATAATATCAAATAAAGATAGTATTATCATGATATTCAAAACATTCTGAATAATAATGTATTTAGATATATTTAAATCACTATTTAAAATCTGATATTAAGATACAGGTAGCGTAATTTTTGTTGATTTTATTTAACTTTAAACTAGGTTTCTATATTGGCAAAAATTATGGGCGAATCAATGAATACTAGCAGAAATCAAATATAGGCACCTAGATATTCGATCTATAATTTTATTGATATTAATATAATGCTATTTTGCCTTATTTTGCAGCTAAATTTGTTAAAAAAACAATCTAACCATAAAATCACTTAGATGTACTAAATACACACTAATTGTTGATATGAATTAATACTTTCAAAAATTTCGCCTAAAAACGGGAGCAATCATAGTTTTTATTTGTTTATTTTTTTTTGGTTGGCTAAATGGATTGAAGATTTAATAAGCAAGACACTTAAATTGTATAATGCCAATTTTGTAATTTATTCCTATATCGCTAAATATTATCTTTTTTTATACACTAAAAGCATTAAAATAACTAAAAAGTATAAATATTTTTTCAGAATTTTAATTTTTAAATTTAAAAAATTGAAGGAAATATGTACATCTTTAAAAGTATTTTATAGATATTATAACTTTATGTCATAATCTATTAAATATAGCAAACAATGATATACAGGCAATTTTCCTGAATATATTTTAAAATTAAAAACAAAGACTAAGTCGAGTTAGGACGCAACCCAAGAAAAAAATTAGAATAAGTGCTCTCATTTATTCGTAAGATTACTCAAAGTGTTGTCAATATTTTTTATTTTGGTTATAGGCACGTAAATATACATAGATTTTACAATTTATGTTTTCAATTGTTCGACCAACCTCAAGGATATGAAGATAAAAAGATAGTATACATTATTAAAAAAATTAATAACTAAGAGAAAAGATTAAATAAATATTTCTTAAACGTGATCCAATCGAAGGCCGAAAAAATATGTCAATGCTGATAAGCAATTGTGGGATTTGATTAGATTTTAAAAATCATATATTTATTACATACCCAGTCGTTTAAGTAACATCACTAAATCGCAATAAATTTTAAAAAAATAATTATTTAATTTTTTGAATATATTATTAAAATTAATCTACTTGTAGTACGACCTTGACCTGATGCTTCTTTCACTATATATTAGTTTTTTCATATTAGATAAACATTTATCACATATAATAAAGTTGATTTTAAAATATATCATCGAATTTAAAATTATAATACCAGTATATATTTATGATAAACTTATATAAACTATAAAATTGTAGTAATTTCATAATATTTTATGATATCTTTTAATTATTCTTGCAATTAGGCCTATTCAAAAAAGTTCAAATATTTATTCTAATAAATACGAATACGAATAATGTGAATTATTTGTCTTATACGAATATTTATTTATTCGATTCGAATAATTCTAATATTCCGAATATTTATAGTTTTTAATAAATCTAACATTTGTCATTTATATTAAATAACCTCCCGATCTGACATAAGGGTATTATAAAAAGATTAACACAAATTTAAAAATCTCTTTAAGTAAAATTGAAGCAATATTTAAAATTTTATTTTTCCTATTTTGAATCTCTTAATAAATTATATAAAAAAATTGCACAAAACAAAAGTATATAAAAATATAATACATCTCAATAAATTATTATTAACTAACCTAATTATGATAGAGGAGAATGCTTCTGATGAAATAGTTATACTTGTGTTAAAGTTGACAAAATTTCCTTACAATAAAAACGATTTTATAGGAACTATATCAAATCAATATAGGCTGTCAAAAGCTGTTTGCAATCATCTCAAGAACATTATAAAAAGTAAATTCAAAACAACATCTTCTCTTATTAATCATCATAATAGGTTCCATTCACACCCAGTAAAAATATAATAAAAATGACAATTTTTAAAGCCTACATTACTAATTTCTTTAGCTAAAAAATTAATTTTAAAGATTGCTACAGTTATTTATAAATAATAAATACCTTTTAAAACTTTTAAGATTTTATAAGTGATCTTGATTGTTCTGTAAAATTAATCTGCTCCAATACTCTTAAATTACATATATAATACATTTTCAGAAAAAGAACAGTTGGCCAAGGAAATAATATTCAAAAATAAAAGGAATAATTTCACCTGGCATCTAGACTAGCTCAATCCAAGTTAACTGACAAGGTATTTAATATACCCCAATTTAACGGAATATGATTTTAATTTATAAGCTGATAATTTTAACCACCAAATAAATAAAGGTGTCAATAAAACACATTAGAATTTCTTTTTAAACAAAATAATATTTAATTGAGAGAAATATCTGAGTGAGCAATGAGCAAAGAGTGATACCGACCCGTTAAATGTGGTGGGAGGCAAATGCATATTAAATCCCCACCCGCAAAAATGTCGAGGAATTATCTATCCATGCAAGAACTTCAACTGTTTGTGAAAGACTTTTCTTAGTTGGAAATAATTTTTTGTCAAATAAGGAAGAAAATATAAGAAAAACTTTTTGCCTTAAAAATAGGCTTAGAATTATAAATTAAATTAATATAATTTTGTTAATAATTTGATTACATATTTTTTAATCATAAGATTATTATAAAATTTTTTATGTTTGATATTAAATTTATGATAAAAAAATTGTAAATATATTTGAGTATGATATATTTTTTTTACAAAATTTTATTTCTATTATTAGAATAATTCGAATCGAATACAAATAGTAGATTTTATTATTCGTACGAATTCGAATTCGTTTTTGAATAGGCCTACTAGCAATGTATCATAATCCAATTTATTAAATTAAACACAACACTCTGATTATATTCTATCTTGTGATGCCTCTCCCAAAATAAATTTGGTTAAAATGGATATCAGATATTTTTTTTATAAAGATCGATAAATATGAAGTAAACACAAAGAAATTTAATTTTTACCCATAAAAGCTTTTAAAGTTACAATGGAGTAAAATAATAAATTTTAAAAATTTACTCAGCATGAGATAAAATTATAAAATATTAATCTTCTATAATTTATTAAAAGTAAAACATTTAATTTTATAAATTGGTAAACCATCATAATAGTCAATGTTGATAAATTTAATTTAATTTTTTTATTTGTTTAATATTAAATTAATTAAGCATTAAATAATGTCCAATAAGTTTCCCATATGCTCATAAAAATTTAAAATGCAAATTAAAATTTTAACAAGTCAAAGTAACTCTTTAAATATTTACTAATAAATAAAAATTACTAAGATTTTATTTGAATCTAAATTATAAATTAATCTCAATTTTATGTTTAAAAATATTGACAATAATGGTAATTAATATCTTTTAAATTTTAAATAAGTGTTAAGACCTGGGGCTAGTTTTGACGGGGTGCATTAATTTTTAAGCAAGAATTCTTTTAAATAAGAAAAATCCACCTATTTTTATAAGAAGAAGCCACGAGTTTTTCTAGGGTCACGAATACTATGAAGATTATTTTTTATATTCTTACACTGGAATTTAAATTAATTAACTAAATAAACAAACTGAAGGTTAAATGTTTAATCTTGAGTTATTTATCTAGTTTTCAAACTTTCAGCTTATGAATGAAACATACCGTTATCTACTTTTAATCAGATAAGAATTAATGCAATGAATTTAGGAAATTAGAAACCTTTGAATAAAAATACTATGAAAAGTCAACTGCATTAAGATATAAATATACAAGACAAGAAATTCCTAATATAGCAAATCCTCGGCGTAGCTTAAATTTACAATTCATTAATCGATTATAAAATACGTATATTAATTTATCATGTATTGACTTCGCATCATTTTAGATTGGTATATATTTTAACAAGATAGATAAATCTCGGTTAATAAACTATGAATCAATAATAAAAAAAGATGACTTTTTTATTGCTCTAAATTTAAGAATAATAGCCTTGATTGATAGAAGATAAAACAGTAAAAACTTCCTAAAATGCCATAAAAAAAGATTGAAGGTGCGTTAAAGTTTAAAGGTTGATATATATTTATGTATTTTATAATTAAAAAATATCATTTTTTATTTGTTTTGAATAAAAAATAATTTTAATTAAATGAATTATGATTTGGTACTATAAAAATAATTGAATTCAGTAAATATATTATGAGTACTCAAATCTCTAATCTTCCTTTTTAGGGATAGGCAAAATAAACGCCAAAATCCAGGGCAGTCTAAAATGCTTTGTTCAACCACCTTTCCTGTCGTAAGTTAACGTTTAATCTTGCTAAAATGTATTGTAACATTAATTTTTCTCCATGACTTAGATTTAATTACCATAAGTAAAAATTATTTACATGGAATTATTTTAGGCCTTTAAACTTTATTTACATTAATTAATGCTTGAGACCTAAAATCATACATTTGAACATCTCGTTGTTTAGTATATCATTGTTATTGTGTAAAATGTATAGTGAATGAACTATCTATTTTATTATTCCACAGGTAATTCGAGATTTCTTAGGTTGTTTGAGCCAATGGTATATGTTAGGATGTATTGAGGCTTGTAAATCCCCATGTGGCGGATTGCATTTTGAACATCTATATTTTATGATATACATTAGGATTATTATCATATCCCTTGCTTCTAATAGAATCAAAATATTGTAATAATTTTATTGACTATTACTCTTCAATTTGTATCCCTATGAGCTTCCAAAGTGTTATTCGTTATATCTGTGCTCTTTCCGGGTCAGCTCATGGCTTATTCTATTATTAAATTATTATCAAACTATAGTCGCGTAATGGTTTCAGAGGTCATAAACCAAAGTAGGTTAATTTCTTAGCATCATGTCTATTGTAGCTTTCTCAAAATTTTAACCTTAGACTAAACTGGAGAACAAACTTCTGCATGCACTGGATTGAATTATAAAATAATAAATAGAAATTTTTCCTAAAATTATTATTAATGTTTCTTTATCTTTTATGATACTCCATTAAGCTAATTTTTATATTTCCTAACCTTTGTAAATCAGAAATGTTTTATAACCATTTAAGTCCATTAATTGATTTAAATTCTCTAAATAATGTTCAAAATTCATTTTGTCTTCATTTTAGAAATATGGTAATTTAATCTACAAATGGAAATAAGATTAGCTCTATCTTATCACAGTTTATCATCTTCTAATACACATTTATTTTTATTCACATGTAAATATATTTATTATGTGTTCCACAAATGAGTAAGTATATTGAAATATCCTAAATGTTGACATATATCTAAATACAAATAATATAACAGTAAATCTGTTATTAATATATATATACTATGGAGCTTTATAATTGTATATTTAATCTAATATTTATTTTGCTATTAATATCTTTGTAATTATTGTAAATAACAAAAGGCAACAAAATATATCATTACAATTATAGAAAAATTTATGAAAATATAATATTAAAAGAAAGAAAGTATTAACGTATAATCTATTTATATATAAAATTTGATTTATATATCGTATTTTACTTGTGAGTCTATTTTCTTGTTCTATTTAAAAAATATATGCTATAGATAACTTCTTAAAATGTTAGTATACCTATGTTAATAGTGAGCTTTTTATTTCCCAATCCTAATGTTTTTAAAACATGTTACATAAATAATTATCATTTCTATTTTTACTTATTCCCATTGTGAAATCAGAATCTTAAGTAATATTTAAATATAGGAAATATCAAAAGTTATTATGAAAATAATATACCTTGGATAGAAATTTCGGTATAATTTAAGTAATCTAAAAGAAATATAAATATTTTATAATAATTTTTTTAAAGTATAAGAGCTACCATTTACAACGCTGCTTAAGTTTCCTATAAAATTTTTAATAAAAATATAAAGTAAATAATAAGGGATATCATATTATGGAAGCTTTATTAATTGCAGATATTGTGCAAAAATTATGCAACATATACGCCAACTATTAGTTGTTATAATTAATTAATAAACCTTTTTTGATTAAGATATCGCCATCTACAAATAAATTATATAGTGAATTATTTGCAATACAATAATTTAATAGGGTTTTTAAAATAAATACTTTCCGCTTTGCAAATGGTATTGGTTGAAATAGCTATTTTAAATTAGTAAAATGTTTTATATGAATTAAATATAAATTAAAAGTAGCTTACGCGTTAAGAAATAAGGTTTTTTTCTCAGACAAATTATCATATTTGATTCTAAAATGGGTTTTATAATTTAATAAATAAAATTTTTAACAAATTATCTATAACTAAAATAGTATCTCCCATATAAATTAACAAAACCATATTTGTAATTTAAATAATTATGAATTTATATATTAATAAATATTAAGTTTACTAAATATCAAAAACTGAAGTTGGTATGGGCAGATATGATCAATTTATATATTCTTTACTTTAACAAGATTAATTTTTTAAATCAAAATATTTTAGTTCTAAATTACAGCTCTATTGATAATCTATATTCTGGAATCAAAGTTCTAGTAATAGTTATAAAATACTAGTTTTGAAGGAAGGCGATTTTACGCGGTCTTGACTGACTATATCTTTAGTGTTATTAAACGTCAAACCAAAATCTTAGCAAAAAATATTATGCAAGCCTAGAGATTTTTCTCATAAATGCAGAAAGGTTTGGACAACTATTAACATAATACTTGATATTATTATTTTGGCTAAAATACTAATTTAAATCAAGCCAATTACAACATACATCAAATACATTTTTTAATACCTAATATATAAAATTTAATTATAATATCTATATTTTATATTTATTCAGAAGTCAGTAAAACAACAACCGAATGCAAAATAAAATATACTAAATCTCATATTATTTTAATATTGTCTTAAAATTAAAATACTACTATTACATGTAGATAAATTTCTTTGAGCCATTCTTACACAATAGTATAACAAGGAAAGAAGTCTAAACTGTTAATAATTTTACTAAACAATATTAAGATCTAAAATAAATGTAGCATCATAGTAGTTATTTAATGATTTTTATCATATAATCAAAAAGTCAAAAGGGCGATGACTAGATCAAAAATTTTAAATAAAAAAATTAATTTTTAATGGGAATCTTAAAATACCAATGTTTTAAAATTAGAATTAAATCGTAATAACTTACATCTAAAAATTTTATAAAAGAAGAGGGATTCTATGTTGTAAAAATTATCAGATCTGGCAAAAAAAATACACATTTTTAAATTGGTTCGGTTTTATAAAAGAAACAAAACAGCATATCTAGGGTAAAAAGAAAAAAAAGAAGTTATTGTTTATACCAAAGACATATCTGGCAAGGAACTTTAGAAAATTACCCATTTAAAATAATGGTTCATTCACTATATAAACTTCCCACATTTTTTATAGAATTCAAATTAATTAAAAAAAAATTGATTTCTAATTTGTAATTTTTATATTTTTTAAACTATGCTCGGATATCTAAAATACAGGTTTATATTAAATTTATCAAAATTTTGATTATATTTATTTATAAGCTTATCTTAGCGAATTTATATTTTAAATAAAATATCATAAGTTTGATACTGTGATCCACAGATTCGCCCAATACTAGTAAACAAAAAATATAATATATAAATTTGAACCATTTACAGTGGATAATATATAATAGTATTAACGGATACGGATATGCTTTTAAAATCAATAAATCTACCACTATAGCACTAATGATACAAAAAAATCTAATATTATTTACTCGGATCAGCTTCTAAGTCTAAAATAGATGTTAAAATAAAAATAAAATTTGTGTTTTAAGTATAACCAGAAAAAGATACTTGTATTTATTTTTTAGCTTAATTTTAAGCATTATTTCTTATTAGTATATTTTAAATATTCTTTTTCATATATTTTTAATTAAAAACATAGATCTCTTTATATAAATATTGCTAATTTTTATAAATATTGATTGATATAGATAGTGTAATATAGTTTCGCAGCTCAAATATGCCTCTTTGGAAAATACGTAATTCTTTTATTAAATTTTAGTTTTCATTAAGGGAACTATTTATATTTTTGTATTATTCATACGTTTTATATCTGATTTATTATTACAATTCAAAAAATTTCAAATTACGAGATATAATTTTTTTTGAAAATATTGTGTAACGTTTACAGTGGTGCTCGTGACGCAGATCGGAAGATTTGGAGTGATTAAGTTTTAAAGGTAAAACAAAATTTTTGTTGATATATATTTTATCTGATAAATTTTTGACAACGCAGTAGTACTATCCGGTGTTAGCTGTTTATGTTAAAAAAGTATCAGACTTGGAAGTAGTCTAAAAGATGTTTTAGATTAAATCAAGGAAATGGTTTGGAGAGGTCCGAGAAAATCCTCCAAGAAGTAAAAGAAATGAATGAAGTCATCAATGCGTTGATGAGGTTGAGCAGAAATTCCGTGAAGTGCCATACACGTGAACAAAATAGAATAATGGTAAAGATAGTTACAGAAAAATAATTGAGTGTCAGTAAACAAATGTTTAGAGATTATCATTTATAATCGTTGCGGGTGGAGGGGACACAAAAGGGATACTTGCTAATGACGGAGAGATTAAATGGACCATGTACGTGTCCCAGGGTTAAGTTTAAAATTGACCATAGGAATATAGAGATGCTGTTTGACACCGGGGCTAGTATTTCTCTAATGTCTCAGGAGAATTTTTATAAGTATTGGCCTCTGGTTAAACTTAAAAAAGGCTATGTGCGTCATGCAATTTGATGGGTCAGAAGTTGCCGTGTTGGGAAAGGCCAAATTGGGGGTTAATATTAATGATGTAATCTTTTCCCTGCATTTATGGGTGGTGAAGGAAAGTGTGAAAACCATCATGGGGTGGAGTTGGATTGTTCTTGGGTCCCTTGATAATTTTTGGAATATTTTTGCGATACCGGAGGCTACAAATGAGACTAAGAACATGAGGATGGCTTATACTGTTTGAGATAAAATTTAAGAGATAGAAGGGACGGATTCAACTGTAAAAGAAGGGAATTCAACCTGTAATTCTGAGATGCATATACTTTCCACTGAATTAATAGTTGAGGACAACAGTAAAACCCAGGGAGTAACCGGGGTGAAAGGGTAATTATGTACTACATAATATAATTTGGAAAAATTGATGGGAAAAATACTCTTAACAGGCATCTAAAGTGTTCTGTGTTTATGAGGAGTTGCGGGGTAAAAAATAAAGAATAAACGGGAATTAAAATGTAAGTGAACTGTTGGTATCCTTTTTGTTTTGGTTTATTAATTATTACACGGTGGCAGTGAGATGTATTGATAAAATGCAAGTTTATTGGTTTCAATTCTTTCATGTTTGTAATGGAAAAAGTTGGTATTCATTGAGGTTATTAGTTATTAGTCATAAATAAGAGTTGAAATATAATGTAAGATTAAAATGGAAAGTTGATGTATATTATATTGTTAATTGTTAAAAGGGAATCATGTTTTGAGTTAGAGAAACCGTTTTAATATTTTTATTACATATTTGTGATTGCTTTTCATCTTTGTCAGGCCGCAAGAAGAAAGTGAAAATGAAGAAATTTTTGTTGTAATGTGAGATAAGAGCGTGCACGTGTTTTTTTTGTAATTTATATATTTATAATGTTTGTTTCGTAATAAATAAAAATGTATATTGATGAGTTAGTGTACAATGAATTCCTATCTTTGGCCGAGTCTAAAAGGAGAAGATTTTAATTGTTGTTTAGGTGAGAAGGTTTGTTTTTATTTTGTGATTTTTCTCTTTTTATTATATCCTTGTGGAATGCTTTGATCTGAACAAGCCGCAGAAGGAAAAAAATGAAAGATATAGTGCTAATGTGGGATGATACTGTACATGGATTGTGTGTTTTATTTTTTTTTAATCTTTTTCCCCCTTTTTAAATTATATTTTTAATATTCCTTGTTTATTTTTGTTTTCTTTGCCAGGCAGCGAGAAGAGACGTTCCATAATTTAATTAATGTTTATGGAGAGAATATGGCATAATTTGTAATTTGAAAATTATATTTAAAAAAAAGAGAACATAGAATAAATTTTTTTTACTGAATTTACTCCTTCTCCAACCAAGAAAAAAAAAATTTGCGTCGTTTCAAGTATTCAAATCAAGACCACAATCACCTGATGACCATCGATACACAAAATGATCCATGAGACATACATAGGACCTAAATGTAGTATAGATCAAACCTTTGCACGCTATGAAAATGATAGGATGGGGAATTCATATTAGCAGATTACAGTCTAACAAGTATATGATATTCCTATAGCGTAGGACCATGAATATTCAGTATTCTATTGATGTTATGATAATTCATATTAGGCGAGTACTATCCTAACAATTTATATGATGGTGTCCATTTAGCATATTTAGAGGACCTTGAATATTCATTATTCCAGAGATGTTTTTAATAATCAAGAGGCCTAGTAAAAAAAATTTCTCGTATTTGCGTAACATCATCTATTTTATATAGTAAATATGATATATATATTTTTTTAATTTGTCGGCATGCCATTGGCCCATAAAGGAGTGGCATGTCGTATTTTTATATACATTTATATTAATATTATATAATGCCAATCAACCGAAACAAATAAGGTTGATTGGAATATAATTAACATTGAAGAACACGTGATTTTATATTTTCGTTCGAATATAATTGATAACATTATTAAAAATTATTATGAGATTTTTTTTTTCTGATATATTTTGATTATTGAAATTCTTGTAGATTATTTTTGATTTTTTTCTGATATTTTTGATGATTATAAAATTAGTTTTTTTTATATATGATATATTATTATGAAATATTCATATTTTGGGTTTATATTTTGTGTATCGAAATTGTTGAAATTAAATAAAGAAAATTAACATCATCCAATCGTTTCAATTTAATTGCAGAGTAAGTTTAGGAAAGGTTGGAAGTAAGGGGTGTGTAACTCTTACAACTACTATAGTGTTATAATATAAATATTTTATAGATCGTTAAATTGTATTTTATTTTCTCTACAATAATTTTCCATTTAATTTTATTCTTGTAAAAAAATAATATATTAATTTATGAATATTGAAATAAAATAAAATAACTCTTTAATTTCTGACAAATTAGGGTTTACCAACTGCCAAAACCTCTAGAAACTTGTTCATTTATCCCTGTCAGATATGAAAACCCAGATGGTTTTACTGACATTTTTTTCTTGGTTTAAAGAGAGAGACACTTTATTAATTCATGATGTCTCCATTTTCCTCTAAACTAAATATTGACCTGATTATTACAGCCGAAAGAATTTTCACTTTATCTCAATAGTTTCTATTTTAAAATGTTACAATCACCGTGATCCGAGGCAACTATCTTAGTATGAGACCTCTTTCCTTCCCCCTCTTCTTATATGTTTTTTTTAAATATTTTTAATATGTGTTTATATTTGTCTTGTTTTCAATTGTTTACATGTTTTTTTTACATATTATTTTAATGCTATTTTTTAAAATTTAATAAATAAAACATAAAAATATTAAATTCAAAAAATAAAAGAAATAAATTGTTTAGCAAAATTATGACTTATTTTTAGAATTTATATTAACAGATATGTTACTAAATCATAGTTAAGGTTTGTAATATGTTTTAATATTTATTACGTGTAGAGTTCCCTAAAAAATAATATATAATATAATATATAATTTTATATTGCGTAAAAATATATTATTTTTTAATTTGCAATACATAAAACAATGGTGCAGAAATAAACTGAATATCAACTCAGATTTCAATAATTTCTCTATACTAAATACATATATTCCCATCAAAAATTTATGAATATATAATATTTTTTGTTTTTTTACTAAAGAATATATATTTTGTAAAAATTCAATATAGTCCAAATATAAAATATATTATTGACATACCATTATGCTGTAGAAAATATGATCTAGCGTCTAAAATATAAAAATTTTTAAATCATATCATAACATACATTTTTTACCTTTTGAGGATAAAATTTCAATATACCAGGAGACTATAATTTTGTTAAAATAATTAGAGATTGTGTTATTAAGGTTTATAAATTATATATATACCTCGCCCACGAAATATTTCTGTTTTTCCTAAATTTTAGAAGAAAATGTTATGTTTGCTTTTAAATTTCCTTATTGAAATAATGAGTAAGAATCTATATATTTATGACTATTGTCGTTATTTTATAATAGGTAAAAAAAAATTTGATTTAAGTTATATTAGAATTGGATGTTATGTTAGTATTATAAAAAATATATCAAATGAAGAATAGATTAATCGAACAAATGTTTTATAATAGTAATATTTTATATATTTAATCCTGTTTACCTAAAGATATTATTAAGGTACCATTCAAATGGTCTAGATTCAATAAATACATTTTTTGCAATTATTTTCATATACTCAAAGAATTATAATTTTAAAATTTAACAGAAATGGAAATAATTAATGAGATTTGAGAATAATTTTTTAATGGTTTATTAGAATATATGAAATATATAAATATATTCTTTTTTTAAATTTAGTATATACGTAGTAATTCTTCTGTCTTGGCTTGGGTTTATATAATTTTAAAAAAATACAAATTATTCAATTTTTTTAAGATGTAATAAATCTTGTTTCCTTCTAATTATATAAGTAAAAATGAATCTACTTGAATTAAATAGGGTCCCCGATAACAAAATATCTTTGGTATCTTTTACTAAAATTTCGATATATTAAATGAAAAAAACAAAAATATATAGCATGAAACCATGATAGAAGTATCATTTTTATAATTTTTAAAGACATACAAGAAAGAAGTCAATTTAATAGGAAATATTCATGCTAATGGCTGTGTTATATTTAAAATTTAAAAATAATGGGAAAATAAAATAAATTATGTGCAAATTTCCCTTTGATTGAATGTATTAGTAATAAAGCAAATGATAATAATTTATATTATATTTTAATTTCCATTGTTTCAATTATTTAGTTATTTATTCTAATCTGCTTATTTTTATTATATGAAAGAAATTTAAAAAAATATTTTTTTAAAGTAGGGACATTGAATAGATCGAGAAAATTATAAATTATTTGGTGATTTGATAGACTTTATTGTATTAACAAAATATTAATTTTGAAAAAATACGTAAAATAGCATTCACAGAAAAGTATTTATTAAATTTCCCAGTTTTTACCAATCCATTTATCCTGTAAGAAACCACCCTCTTTGTATTTGGCCATTATGTCTTATCATCTTCTGAAGGTATTCATCAGGGAGACCACATGGGCTCCATATTATTTTGTCTGTTGATAACTAAAATCAAAAATTATTACTCGCCTCCTATAGATCTATGCTATCGTATATTGATGATGGGGTCATATATAGTTGAAACAAGCTGTCAATATTGTTAATTTTTCGCTGACAGTCTTGTACTTGTAATTAACCAAACCAAAACCCCCGAATATTCGAAATCACTATAATTTTATTTAAAGTTGATTTTAAGCATATCTCCTTGAAAAATTTATGGCATTTGAGCTTTCCCATTGGTGAGAAGTCTGTGAGTTCTTCTTTTCTTGGCAATATTTACGACATTCTTCCCTATCTCTCTGTTCGCAAGGCCTTTATTTTTCCGAATTTTTTAATATCCCTAATATCCTTTATATCCTACGATAGAGCCCAATATTAGAGAGGGAGCATCTAGTGAGATTCGAAACCAGAATAAGAGTCATTCTTAGTGACTGCTTAAACATCAAGTCTACATATAAGGCTTGGCATCAAGTCACCCTTCTTTCCAAACATGGTGGTCTTGGTATGAGATCTGTGTTTATTGCTAGCTACATACAGGCACATAGATTAACTGACCAACATCTATCAATCCATGATGTCTTTTAAATACAGCAAGCACGAAGTGGTCAAAATCCTCCACAACCTTTCGATCTCTGAAACAAGGATTGGGATCTACTAATTGTGAAAACACCTTTGGCTAGATATCATTCATCATTGAACTTATCATGGATAAAATTTTTTAGATGTTTAATCCATTTAGTAATTTCATAATTCATTTGAACAACCATGAGTTCATCTATGCTCTATATAACAGCCTCAACATTCCTTTCTTATTACTATATAAAAGAGACAAATGTTATATTGATGAACAATATGCTGCATTGATGCAATCAAATTATATTTCTTGCATTAATGTTTCTTTCCAGATGGTAGGCGTCTGATGGAATCACACGAATTCCATGTTCACAAAGAAGTTTCTAATATGGGATTTTTCTTGTTTGGACACGAACTCTCCTTCCAATTTGAACAAGAACATTCTGAAGAGAGCGCAAAATTTTAAGATCGTCATATACAGCGCTTATTCTTCTAATTACATATTTGTACCAATCATTTATTCCACTTTGACAACATATGGTATTGGATAAAAAATTTTAAGAACATGGGTCTCCTAATCAGGAAGATTTCGAGGAGTCTCGTGAAGTCTTTTAAAGGCAGGGAATCACAATAGCCATTCTTAAGGCTAATTATGTTTGTTAATTTGATCTCTCTTGATCATTAGGGGTCTTTTTTGAATTAATGTACTGGTTGTAGCTATAAAATTTTTTAACAATATTATATTCGCTTTTATTTATTTTGTATTTTCCATTATTTTATTTGTGTTGTATATTGTCATTTTGTTATAATATATTTTTTATACAAATAAATAATGACCCAATGCCAAAAAAAGCAAAATACTCTTAAAATTATATATAAATTTATTTGCTATTCAAAAATTTATAAAAAAACAGATATTAAAAATAGGATATGGCTAGAAAATAGAGAGGCACTTTTGTTAATATTAGTATTTTGTATGTGTAATCCTGGAAATGTCTTTAAAAATTAGATCTGAACTTTAATTGAGGTCAGAATTAACCTTTAAATAACTTTCACGATCACAGTTTTATTATTCTATTATAATGTTCAATATAAAAGGAGTCTTTTGAATTTCTTTTTTTTAAAAATTCCCAGGGTAAAAGAAAAAGAGTAAGAAATTTTTAGTTTTGTTGTAATAAATCTTTTTTTTTAAATAAAATTTTTAATTACTGTATTTTTTTTTCTTAGTTTATAGAATTACAATTATAATAAGCATAGTTGTGAAAAACCTTTTAATATATTGATCTGAATAAAGCTTTTGAAGACTAGCTCTACCCGCTATTTTTTTTAATACAGTATCACAAATATTTTTGCCTAGTGCAGTTGCAAAGAAATGTAATTTAACCTTTATCAAGAATTAAAAATTAATAATTCCTAAAATGTTATTTTGAATTATAAAAATAGAAAATTTTGATATTTTTTTTTCAGTAAATTTAAAGTAGTATTACTTTTACTGTTATTACAGAATGATTCTTGAACAACATGCTTATGATTTTTTTCAGCCCCCCAAAATGAATAAAGACTGATAAATTTCCAATTATAGGGTATTTGGAAAATACTTTATGCCAGTATTAATTTAAAACAACGACAAATATTTGCCAGTTACACTATAAAAGATAATCTTGGTTAAAATTAAAAAAATTTTCACTGAATTAATAAAGCATAATTTCTTGTACCTCTTGGTTTATTTTCTTGTTCTATGGTAACATTTAAGATATTAAATAAATTATTATAATATTCATACCTATGTTAATAGTAAGGTTTTCACTTCCCAGGCCTGAATTTTAAATTAGAATAGATAATATAAAAATTATCTTTTATAAATTTTTACTTATTCCAATCACCAAATTTGGAACTTAAAATAGTTTTAAATGTATGATTATACTAATAAAATTTATATAATCGGGTAAATAACTTACTTATTATATAATGGTCGTACTCGTACGTATCATTTAAGAATTCTAAATTATTATATATTTTTTTAATATATAGAAATTTTATAAAACACATTCTACGTCATCTAAACTATATGCAAGATTTAGCTATAGGGAGGAAGGGGCTATTAGGTTTGTTACAGCGTAAACTTTATTGAAGGTTTATGTTGTAGCTGTTGAACAAATAAGAGACAAATTTAATTTAATACATAAAATGTCAGTTATTTTCTGACAGGGGAATTGAGTTTTTCCTAGTGGAGGAAGAAAAACGTACTCAACACATGGGTGATTGTTAAAGAAAAGTCCTTTGTTGGAGATTTGGGATTAATTGGAGAAGATGTCAGCTGGAAAGAATAAAGAATGGACTTTTGGGATGAAGAATATATGAAGATGGATAATTATGATTTATAATCTTTATATTATTTTTTAATGATAGGTATTAGATTATTGTTTTTAATGAATAAATATGAGTCTCATGATTCGTTTTTACTATGAATTGTTTTAGTTTAATTTCCCATATTGCAGTATTTTAGCTATATTGCACTTTTTAAAGAATAATTTTTTTTCATTTTTTTAAATAAAACATTTCATTAATTTTTAAAATTATTCACTTTAATTTATTTTTATTTCAAATGATTGTTTTAAGTAATATATTAATTATATGTATGAGGAAGAGGGGGGGAGGGAATTGTTTAAGATGGAAATCAGCTTAAAATAATATTTGCGTTTATTTTTACAAAGGGAGGAGAATTATCCCTTATACCCGCTGGCTACGCCTATGTTCGTACATAGACCTGTGCGTCGTTAGTTCATGCCTTGGCCATAGACAAATTTATCAAACCACACCACTATGATCATCGTTCACTTCTATTACAGATAAATTATATAGAAAACCAGCCTACAGCAATGAATAATATTGATATGAAGTATGATATCATTTATTACAATTTTATAAAACTTTTAATATTTATTTCGTAAAATTTTGTTTAAAAAAAATTACTTATACCATATATTAATATAAAAAAATTATTTAGGATGACATCAACAACATGCAAAAATGATATAAAGGCCAGCACCAATTTTTTCTAAACCATGCCAAAATGACAGAAAAGCCGAATAAATTAATTGTTATTATGTGTAACTATATTATTTTTTTTTTTCAATGTTTTAAGAACAGATTATTATATATTTTTTAAAAGGCTACTATATTTTGACAATTATTAATAATAAATTTAAGTGTTACTATAAATTATGGCATATCAATTCTCATCAGAGTATTACAATTTTCAAATTAATTATCAATTCTATCTTTAGAATGAAAAATATTTAACAATAGATGTTAGTGATGTTAATCCTTAACTGTAACTATTTACCATTTAAAAAGGGTAGCTTTTTAGCATGTAACTATTTATTAAGAAAATTTTTTATTCTATAATACTTAAATAAAAAGTGTCAATTTATTTTCATAAACATTGGTATTTTTTTTAAGTTAAATTTTAAAATAAATATTGTTCGAAATTCTTTCTTGGTAATCATATTAAAAATCTTTATTTTTTGTTAATAGTATTGTTAAAAATTTTATAAGCAGCTTTTAATTTTTTTAGTCTTTTTAGATTTAATTTTATCAAACTTCTTGTTATAATATTGTGAATAGTTTAGCTTGATAATTGTTTGATTTTTTAATTCTTAGCCGTAAATTATACGCTTTCGTATATTTTTCTTAAAAACTAGTCTAATTATAAAGAAGATAAATTAAATCGCCTCAAAATTCTAGCGGATTATTTTTGGCACACGTTTGTAGAATTAGCTGTATTGAGAGATATTAAGCAATTATTATTGACATCTATGACAAATTACCCAACTATGATAAATAGATTCATAATTTGCAAATAAAATCTCTCTACACTTTAAAAAAAAATAAAATAAAATGTTATGTTATGATATAAAACACTTTATTTGTTTTATATTTGTTTGTTTTTTATCATTAATTTTTATAGGGTAATAGATATATAATAAATAAATGATCAATTTTCTTCATCTTAAAGCTGCTTTTGTTTTAGGCATTAAGTCATTAGTCATGATTGACATAATTTTTAAAAAAAATCAGGTGTCTAAAAAATAACTAATTAAATTTGATATGCCATATTTTTCGACAAGATATTACTTTTTAATAAAACAATATAAGAACACCAACATATTTATAAGTTTTCTAGGAGTGAAAAATATGGTTCGCTCCCTAGAGGCGGATAATTTATTCTAAAATCTCCCACTGTCCGTTGTGACACACAGATATATATATATAATTAAATATGTAATTATTAATTGGTAACATGATATTATGAATTTCTAAAAAAATTATTAGAGAATGTAATATTTGAAGTAAATAAGCAATACATGCAGCAACTAATATTAATTAATTAATTTATTTGTAACCTGAGTTGATTATTATATTATTTTCGTCTAAAAAATTATATTATATTGATTGCCATTGAATGTAAATTATTATAATAAATAAATACCTCTTTTTTGGCAAGTGATATCTGAAGTTATTGTTTTTAATATTTATATTAAGTAATTTAAATTATAAATGGCTTACTCTTATCAAGACTACAAATTATGACTTCTGAAACTAAACAGGGTTTTGACAAAATATAAATAAAATAGATAATAACGAAATACAAACTAAATTTTATTATACTTATGAGCAAAAAATTCGTTGATTAAGTATTAATAAAGATTTTTTTAAAAATAATTTTATTTTGTTCACTTCTATTAATTTAAAAAAATATTCCACTAAACATAACTCCATTTTTAAAAATTACCCTTCAATGAATCTTTTTAAATTCGCTTATTTAAAAAATAATATGTATAAAGAGAAAATATCAGCAGGATACCTTTCATTAAATCATAACCTATCAACAAAATAATATAATAGTTAAATAAAATAATATAAATGACACTTTATTTTAATTATGAATAGTAAATCTATATATTCCAAAATTAATAAATTAAAATAAATTGGATGTAATAAAATATAAAAAAGAATTATTTACTCAAACCATCAAAACACAAGATATTATAGGAGGGCAAATGCATTTTTTTTAAAAAGCATGATTAAAAAAATTGTAATAATATTTCGATTTGAGTTTATTATAATAAATTTTTAGATTAATATTAATTATCAAATGCTAATTTATAATTTTTAAAGGTTTTAGTTAAACTATACATAGATATGAAATTTAAGAGGAATGATAAATGTAATAAAAATTATCGAATTCCAAGAAAAATATAATTTGGTGAAAAAAGGACAAAAATGGATAAAAGCATGAATAAATATATTTATAATTAAATTGTTTCCCTTCTTAGAAAATAGGAATTTTTATTGTCATTAAAATATTTTAAACCACTTTTTTAAAAAATGTTCTAGTCTTACCAAATAATTAGAATAAGGTCTATTTTAGGAATAAGTAAGAATTCTCTGAGAAAACTAATATATGAAAAATGATTAGCAGATTTAGGTGGGATTTAGCTCATGGTGACTCACTTAAACAAAGTCAAAGAAGTCTAAACAACTATAAGAATGTCTTTTTAAATTTATTAATTATTTTTATTAGATTTAAGTTATATTCGTTAACTTAATTAAAGCAACAATAACTGATTTATAAAACAACTAAACGCTTACATTTATATATTAATAAAACTGAATTATGCAAATAAAACTCTAAAAACATAATCATTTTTCATTAATTAATCGGAATTATTCAATATTCGATTTAAAAATTATCATTGGAACAACCGATTAAAATGAAACTTTCATCGTTTGTGATGTGGATATAAATATTTTGGATCTCTAGCATATTTGTGAAACGATAAAATATTTTAAAATAAATTTTATACAAACACAAAAATAATAACTAACAACAGTTCCTTTATATCGTTTTTCTTGCCTGTTAGAATTTATTTCATCACAAAGTAACCCAAATATAAAAAAATATAATTTCTCCTACTGAAATCTCTACAAAAAATTAAACACAATTTTACTGATACATATTTCTCTAGAATTCCTGCCAATATTAGAGCTAAATCACCAGCATATCTATTTCTATCTATCTATGCACAATCAAAATGATATACTACCGTCATCCATTAATAATTAAACGTGCGATAAAAATAGAATTACTGTTAAATGGGTGACCCTTGTCTACTGCACTGATTATGCCCCCAAAATCATGTATAAAATGCCCTTTATATAGGTTTTCCCAATGAAAATGATTATTTGAGATACCATAATAAGTGACATAATTAATAATTAATTAATTATTTATTATAATTTTTTTTATAATTAATCTATGCATCAAACATTGTACAACTTAGAATTTCATACCGCTTTTCATATTGATCTAATGCAGATACTTTTTTATTAAAATCTATTTTTAAATAAGTAGTTTGGATTTCATTGGACATGTAATTGATATTAAAATCTTATGTCAATTTTATTAAAGCTGACAAGTATAGGGATTTTCAAAATCATAGTGTAACTCTTTAAATAATAGAAAAGCAACGAATGAGATAATAAAATATTATATTTAAACTGAGTTAAAAGATTAATATTTCCGAAATACTATTAAAGTGTTTCTACAGTTTTAAATATCTGGGTTCAACGTGAACTTTACTTTTTAGGTTCCATCAATTAATAATTAATTTATCCTTTAGATTCTTGCATATTAAAATATCAAAATGGAGTGATTGGAATTTTGTAAATAGTTTTATAAAAGAGAAATATGTGAATTCACAAAACCTAAAGAGATTTTTAAAACAAAAAATTACTGCATTGCCTTTTATTTTGGTGTCAGAATTCTGATGCGAAATAAATAAAACAAGTAATTCCATCATTATTTGTTTAATTTCTCATATTATGCCATTCGGTAAATAATAAAGAATATGAAGTCTTAGGTAGTATTTTATAATTAAAATTTGACGATTTTTATATCACTAAGTTAAGGTTATGGCAATTACAAGGTAAATGAAAGCTTTATTATTCAATTTTAATATTTAATATTTTTTGGTTCTTTTTTATAGAAAAGATATGAAAAGTGCCCCATGAATATATAAATTGTATGGGGCAATAAATTATGTAGAAAGCGGAAGGAATATAAAATAATTTTATTTGAAATATTTAGGTTTTTATATTAATAATAATAAATTATAATTTTTGTTGGGAGTAAAGGAAACCAACTTTAAAAATTGTTAAAAATTTATATCTTAAATATTATTCAATAAAAATGTAGAAAACTTTGAAATGAAGTTTTGTATGGAAACTATTGAAAAACTAGGTAATATACAGATTTATTTATATTGATTTTAAAAACTTGGAAGTAGATAGACTCCATTTTTCAAAAATATAATATATTTATAAATGCAATCATATGTATTCATATTACTAAAATTATAAGCAATTTTAAATTGGTCAAATACAAATGATTATTTTGATATACCATTATGCTCGAGATGACATGATTTAGCGTCTAAAATTTAATTTTTTTAAAATAATAATAATTGGATATTTATATTATTTTACCTTTAGAGGATATTATGAGGATCGATTTGGAGACTAAAATATATTTAAATTTAAGATTTTATTTCTATTATATATAATATTATATACCTGGCCCACGAAACCTTTTGACTCGTCCTAAAAATAATATTGTTTTTTTTTTAAATGCTTGTTGAAAATTTGAATTATAATTTGAATGTATTAATAGTTTAAAAATATTAAATAAATGATAAATAACAAATAAAAATAATTTTAAATGGTTAAATATGAATTATAATAAATAGATAGTTAATTATAATAATTATAGCTAATTAAATTAAAATAGTTTATTTATATAGATCTAATCAAGATTACCTAAAGATATTACAAGGGTACCATTTAGACCTTCTATATGTGAATATTAAAATAAATTATATATATAGTTTTAAAAATCTTTTAACTGCCAATGTGCCGCCAAGAAATTGATTTATTTTTGAGAATCAAAGTCATTTTTTAATTTTAGAATAGGTAGGCCAATGTTCGATTGAACCTGTTTTAGCGATTATATTTTTAACTTTTATATAGAGTCCATTTTACAATTATATTGGGGACGAAAAATGTTGTTTTAAATGAATCGATAATTTAAAAACATATTGGGGCCTTTTTAAAAAATATAATATGTGTGATATTATTTTTAAATTTATAAAATTTAATATACAATTTTTTTGATTTTACAGAGAACCGAAATTACGAATTTTAGACAATTCCATTATGAACTTTTTAACTAGACATAATTTAATCGTATATTTAATATAAATTAAAAAATATACAAAAGTTCCTATCGAAATTGACAGTAAAATCAGATTTTTAAAATTTGTAAATCGCCCTCAATAAATGATATAGAGATATTAAGAAAGCTCATATTTTTTATCCAAATGACAATGATTCTATCTAAAATAGATTCATATCCGATAAGGCAAAAAAAATATTAATTTATTTTTTAAGATATTTATTAATACCTATTAGTTTTTGAGAGGTAGCTTTATTTTTACAAATTTTTAAAGATGTATTATAATTAAAAAATTTTTAAAGATAGATATATAATAATGAATGCGGGTAATTAAAATAAAAATACTTGAATTCATTGGTCCTATTGTAATATTTACTATAATAATATATAAGACACATAAAACATATTATATAAATTATGCGAAAAAACCTATAAACCAAATAAAGTATGTTTAACAGTAATTGCAAAAGAAAAAAAAATATCGTCATTCGTACTTTTAGTTTATGTAAAGTAATTTATATTTATATTCGTTTAAGATGTTCTACATAAATATTTACTTAGACGGTTTGTTTAGGATTTTCTTTTATATTTCTCATCTAAATATGATATTTGCTAAATACCCCCCTTCCCTTCCCTTTTTCTCCTTACGTCATGGTTTATAAAAGAAGCGTCCTATTATATTTTTTCTTATCAATAATAAGTAATGTCATATATTTACTCTATTATATAAAATTGAATTTCTAATAAAAATAAATGATATATAAAAATTTTTTCTACATAAAATTCAACTCCTTAGCCTGAGCTGATTTAGTACAAACCCGGGTTCAAAACAAATCTACTTAAATTTTTTCACAACCTTGGTTTTATCCTCATTTTATGATTATATCAATAACTATCAATTCTCCTAAAGCCATTTTAGTTCACATAAATACTCATTTAACATTTAGCAAAGTCTGAAGTTGAATTAATATCTAGTTTCTAACGTTCTCCTCCTCCATATATTCACAATGTATTGGACACAGTATATATATCTATTTTTTTATAACATAATTAATGAGTGTGTACGAAATATATTTATGATCGCAATTTGTTTACTTTTAAAATTTTTTTATAGTTTAATCTATTAATATATATTTATCATTTTCTTATAATGATTGAAACATTTTTATAAATAAAACTAAATTACATGATACTTTTCCCAAATAATTCAATATTTTTCTAAAAATTTTCATAATTTGGGATAAATTTTTTATTTTATTTATTATAGAAAATAATAAATCCTATTGAATACTGTCATGGATTATTATGAAATCAACCTCTTGAAAAAACCTATAAACGAATGTAATAAAAAACGATGATGCCAAGAAAATAGTTATAAACTACAACAATATTATCACAATTTCCTACTTGGATCATTATAAAGGCAATTCAGATAACCCAACTACATCACAAAACTAGAACATGAGCAATAGGAGAACTTGCTCATATTGCTTTAGAATTATTAACATAAAAAATAACAATTTAATAACCATCCATGGACCACTCACTTCAAGATGCCCAGGTAGTAATAAACCTCCAGCCTCCCTGCTTAAACCTTCATCACTTAGCATCTTACCTGATATTTCACCACCACCTTTAATTTTAACCCCAAATGACTATCAATTATTTAATCCACCAAATGAAAATCCAACACAGGAAAAGACCTTCATAAAAAATTATCCAATCCTGATTTGGAATACCCAAAATTTCTAACAAGCTATTTTAGCCCTACCATATCACGAATCCCAAAAGCAGCCCTTAAATTAATTTATCCTTTTTATATCAAAATTATTAATAATATTTTACAAAATCCAGAAGATCATTGGAGAAAATTGATATATTTCCCAACATTAATATTATCAAATCCACCAAAAGATAATCCAATCCCACTATGCCAAAACATCAAAGAAAGAATTGAAAACTTTGATCTTAATTTTGAAAAATTTACACCAAATATCAACGATCCTGCTAAAAAGACTTTAAATAACCCTTCACACAAACTAATATATAATAAGAATAATTTCAATTTAAAAGGAGCTCTCCGAGCTCTTGCTAACGCAAATACGTTGGCACCCGATAATATCAGTACAAGAAATCAACTTTTAGAAAAACATCTGAGCCCCAAATACACTCCTCAAATACTGCCTATAATAAATTCAAAGATAAATATCACTCCCGGAGAAGTCATAACCACTACTAAATCTTTTCCAAACGATTCTGCTCCAGGACTGGATTACCCTCATTATTATTGACCTCTTGGGTTTAGACAGTTTAGAATTTCTAATACATTCTTTAACTAAAATTTTTAATATTAATAACGGGAAATTACCACATAAACTAGCAATAATCTTTGGTGCAAGCTGAAAATCAAGTGCGCCCAATAGCTATTGGAATTTTTTAACGACTAACCAGTTCAAAAATTATTTGTAATCGACTCAAATCTACAATAACCTTAAGCTTAGCTCCTTACCAAGTGTGATTTGGGTAAAAAGGAGGCTGTGAAGCCGCAATCCATTGCAGTCGACTAGTTTTATCCAACCTCAAACCTGAAGATTATATAGCAAATTTAGACATATTCAATTAATAGGAATAAAATTGTCGATACTTTCTTGGAAACATTCCCTGACTACCATTATAACATCCATCTTAGCTATGGCATTCCTTCCTTACTCAAATTTAATGATTATATTATTAATTCTGCAGAAGACCTCTAACAGGGTGACCCCTTAGGACCACTACTTTTTTTGCTATACTCTTAAACATCTAATAAGTAATATTGCTCTTTCATGCAAACTCAATCAACATGTTTTACCTTGACGATTCTACTATATCGAGGACCATTTCTTCAATCCAGAATTGTCTAGGTCTAATCAACAAACACTTTGATGAACTTAATTTATCCTTAAATATAAATAAATGCGAAATTTATTCTTCTCCGCCTTTAACAGACACCATATTAGATAACTTTAGACGGACACCCTTTTACAATATTTCAGTATATTAGGAGCCCCATTGGGAGGTGCAGAGTTTTAATTTTTTAAATCATCACCTTCAATCACTATTCCCCAAACTATCTGTCTTAAAAAATTACCTATCCAAGCATACTACATTCTCAAAAACGCCCTTTTAATACCACAAATCTCAACAAAAAGATTGGAATCAAGGATTGGTATCTCGTTCCTTAGTTTACCTCTCTTGAGCGATGATCACCAATATAAATCCCTCCTAAGATCTCTTAATTTCAACAACTCTGGCCATGAATGGTTAGATTCATATCCCAGTATTTTAAATAACCAGCTAATAGATAACGACGCTTTTCGTTATGCAATCAATTTAAGCTTGGGCGTACCTTTCCTAAACCATTATATTTGCATTGAATGCAAGCAATCGGCAGACGCGTATGGGAGACACGCTTTCCAGTATAAATTTATATCAAAAATCAGCCGACATGATAAAATAAATGCAATAATAGCTTACTTTTTAAATAAAGACAATTTTCCCTGTATTTTAGAACCTATATCCTTTATAGATAAGCCTTGACTGCAAAACCGTTGTACCTTTTTTCACGGGAAGGCCTTTAATGTGTGATTTTACCTGCATTGATCGGCTCCATCTAATAATTCCCATGATCCCCTTAACAGAGCCGAATCTCTAAAAAATATAAAATACTCACACCTAATGTGTGATAACCACTTTCCTATCGCAGCTACATCAACCTGCACTTTTGGACAAGCAGCTTTAGATCTATAAAAAATTTCCAAATCAATAAAAAAATCATACCTTTCTTCATTTTACAAACTCAAGCAGAAAATCGCCGCGTCTATAATTAGATCTAATTATCAAATATTTAAAACATCATGGCCCGACCATTTGATATTATTTTTTCTTTTTATAAAAATATACATTTGTATCAATCTTCTTTTTTTTTAACTTAAACTAATATATGACATATTTTATCATATTCTCTATAATAAAATGTTAATTTTTAAATAATAATATTTTATCATATTTGTATATAAATTTTAATAAAAAATAGAATTTAAAAAAAACATTTCCAAATTCAATATTATTTTAAATATTTTATTTTGAAACATTTCCAAATTCAATATTATTTTAAATATTTTATTTTTAAACATTTGTAAATTAAAGATCATTTTATATATTTTATATTTTAAAACATGAATGTTGAATGAAAATAAGGTAGGACTCCAGTCTACAGGCAAAAAATTTTGTATTTTTAAAATATAAATAATGTTTGATATTCTCATAAATATATCGCCTTTTCTTATTTTATAATAGAAATTTAATAGGAAAACTATTTTTTAATAAATAAAATTAAAAATTTTAATATTTTTAACCTTGATTATTTAATAGTTTATTTTAAAATGTGTAAATATTCTATATTTTGAGTTTTTAGAAAATGTCTATTTTGATTAGATATAAAAAAAATTAACAAATTCGTTCAGAATTTTACCTTTAGGTTTCGTTTCTTGTACTAATATATTAAAATTTAATATAAAATTTTATTTCCTAAAATTTTTATACCTAGATTAAGAGTAAGGTTTTCATATCTTCCTAATCCTAATTATTTAATTATAATTTTTATAATTTCTAAATTTACTAATTCCAATCATCAAATTTGGAGCTTGAAATATTTTTAAATATATATTAAATAAATTTCTTTTAAATTTATGAAAATAACATACATAGAATGTAATGATCAGTGTGCTTGAGATAATCTATAAGAAATATAAAAAAGGTTTCTTTGATAATTTAACATATAAATATTACTTTTTATAAAACTGGAAACATTTTCTTTAATAATAAAAATAAAAATTAAGCATAATTGATATAATACTTTTGAAAAAATATGTTATAATTATTTAATTTGTGAGATTAATTTAAAAGGTAACTTATATTTGATAAACCTTTTGCAATGTTTATAATATCACCATCTATAAATTAAAAATAATTTCAATTTAATGTAATATTTTATTCTTAATCCAATAAATAATACCTTCATTTTCACAGGTGAAGTTAATGCCTGAAATAATTAATAATAATGATTTTTTTTTATAATAAGTTATATAAATTAAAGGTGACTTACTCTCACGCCTACAAATCATGACATTTGGATCTGAAAAAGAATTCATGATTTAAACATAATTTATTAAATGGCTGCATAAAATATAATTTATGAATAAATAATTCGATTTTAATCAGGTTTTATTGATATTATTATATTCACTATAATAAATCCAGTGAAAAAAATTTGTTATAGATTAATTTGTCATTTTTAGTGTAGAATTATACGATTTTATTAAGCTACTCTCAAGCCCTAATTTTCCTGTTAGTATTATCCCAATATAATTAATTTTTTCAGATATATTTAAAAATGAATTGATTAAAATATATAATATTTAATTTTATAAATAGAAATAGAAATAACGGCGAAAATAATAATGAAATATTAAGTATTTATATTTTCAATATGAAGCTAATATAATGTGTGCGAGTAGGAATATGTGTAGAACAATTTTTTAGGAGGATCTTAAGCCTAGAAAAATTGAATGTAAAAATAATGGCTGTTATATATATAATTTGATACAAATCTATCCATTCATTGCTGTTAAGACAATACACAATTTTAAGAGGATTTATTTTTAGACCTAGGTTTTCATAAGTTTATTATGTCTATTGCCTGTTAATGACCATGTAATGCGAGCAGCTTTTTAATGTATCATCTATATACCATCACATTTTGATTGATATCTTATTATTAGATAAAAGATGGTTTGTATGGGTAAATATTGGATAGCTTTTAATGTTGAAGTTAATTTATTTCTAAATATGCCTTATGGTAGCAGTTCTGTGGGAACTGAAAAAATTGTTGATAATAGGAGTGAGCTAATTTCAAGAATTATTGTGTTTAAGAATATTAAAGGCAATAGCCAAATTAATTTAGGCAAATACATTTTAAAATGGTTTGGTGTTTTAGTATATTCGGTATTTTTTAATACTTGTATATTTGATAGATTATTTTCATGATATTATAAGCTGCATTCAATTATTTTGGCTAGTAATCAAAGCCAGATAATGCAAATAGCTACAGGTCTAAGATTTATGAGGTACTACAACCTTGGCTCCATAGAGGGAATTACCACTATAAGTATATGGTTTATGAGCTAATGTATTTTTGAAAGGAGATTAGTTTCTTGAATGATAGCAGAAGAAATAAGGTCTTGAAAGAATAGAGTATTTCGTCAATTCCAGTTAAACAATAATGCCTAAAAGGATGGCTCTCCAATTCATTGGAAGTTGAAAGCGCAAATATTTGATTCATCATAGATAGGAGCCAAATTATCTATGGATGTTGCAAGTATGGCTGATCTAATGTTCAGGTTATCTAGTGAGCTTATAAGTTCAACTCTCGTTCAAAGAGCGCCTCTCCAATTAAATTTTTCTTATCATCAAATGAAGAAATGTTTAATGTATCATCTGTTGAGTAATTAATTGTTGATGGATTAGATATTTATAGGAAAAAGAGTAAAAAAGTCAAACTAGTGCCTACTGATGAAAACTTATATTAAGTAAAAATGCTAGATTTTTGAAACAAAGCCTTGCACCTTTGAACAAACGAGATAAGATGTACGCTTGATAACAATAAAAAATCTCTAAAGCATGGAATTCAGGGTTTGCGGAGTTTGTAGAGGCATCATGATAAATATATTTTTAAGGCTTGTAAAGGTTTTAAAGTAATTAATATTATGCTTTAGGCGTATTGTTGATTTGATAAATTATTATCATTATTTCTCAAATTATTGATTTTTCATAATTTTTTTATTGAATTATTTGATTCAAATCTATAGACTATCATATAATTTTATATATTTTATCTTTATATATAGTTTAAATTATATAAATAGAGGCCATTACAATTATTTTATAATTAAAATTTTTAAATATTGAAAAAAGGCGCTATTCAGGAAAAAAGTACAAATGATGCATGGTTGAAACTAATCGGAATTTTTTTTTAATAGGTTTTCACTACCTATCCATAGGACAGATAGAACTATTATTTGTCCTAAAAATTTAGAAGGAAAAGTATTAGAAATTGAACAAAATAAAATATGGGTAGGAACGTGTGCTGGAAGAATTTCAACACTATTTATTGCCTCTAGTCTATACAAAACTATAAAATTAAATTATTTTAAATTTCCTAACAATAATATATCAATCATAGGTAATTTAAGCTATTTTTATAGTAACCACAAATTTAATTCATGTACATAAAATATATTAATTTTTTATTTCAACTGCTAAAAATATTTAGGAGCTTCACATGTAACAAACTATGGAAAAACATCGCTATGAAATTGCAAAATGGGTTACTTGAATTAGTGTTGTTAAACGGCTCGTTTTGAGCCAATTTTTAAAAACGGGTAACTCAATATTACATCCAGAAAAATATTACGCAAACCTGAAGATTTTGATCATAGACATAACAAAGGTCTAGACATATATTATCGAAATCTCGAGGCTTAGGCAATATCTTTCTGACTAAAATATTTAGTTAGCCGTTTTAAAAAATCGGCTCAAAACGAGTCGTTTAACAACACTAGCTTGAATAAAAGTTACGAATGTTTCAAGATCAAGAGAAGCCGCTAACACAGTTAAATCCTTTAAATGTTCAACAAAATGCCATATTGCATTGCATAATTGTTGCAATAAATAATTTTTTTTAATTCGAATTTTTTTATAAATATATATGCATATAAAAATATATATGATTTCATATTATAAAAATAAAAGTGTCTTTAACCTTATCACTTTTCATTCATTGGATATTTTTTTGGGAACGAGTGAACTCTACCCGGAGATCAGTGACCCCTACAACGGTGGGGGTCCTAAGCAACGGATTTTAAAAATTTGAATGGGGGTACTTAAAAAATTTTTTTTTGTTTTACTGTACCCATCCATAACGAAGTGATTTATTTTTTATGATATAGGACTCGACCTAGTGATTCTGTATACATATTGAATTAAATAATAAATGGGGGGGGGGGATTATTACATTTTAATAAATGTTAGTCGATGTTTAACAAATTAGGTTGATTTCTTGTCATAAAATTATTTTTCCAATTTCAAAATATGCCTAAAAATATTAACCAAAAAAATAAAAAAGCTTATTTAATAATTGCACATAGCATAATATAAGAGATGATAAATTCTTACTACCTCATATACTGCCCAGATTCTTAATACCATAAAAGTTTCTTAATAATTTAACCATTTTATCTATGAATATAAATTTTTTCTCTTTCTCTTCCTCTAATTTGTCTAAATTATTAATTTAATAATAATTTTTATTTTTTTACATTTAATTTATATCAAAACCATTTTTTCGAGTATTTAATGATTTAAAGCATAAAAGTAATACATATTAAATATCTCTAAAAAATAAAATTTTCTGGTGCCAGCCTGGCGGCAAAAATTTTTTAATTATTTTTTTTTAAAAAAAGATTCCGAATCCTCTTAAACATTTTTTTAAAAAATTTTTTTTTTATAATAACCAAATATACTCATTAATTTATGTACATAAAATGAATTAATTTTTCATTAAAGTGCTAAAAATATTTAGGAGCTCTCCGGAATATCACAAACTATGAGAAAACATTGTTATGCAATCGCAAAATGGGTCGCATGAATAAAAGTTGCGAGTGTTTCAAGAACAACCTTAAATGTTCAACGAAATGCCATATTGCATTGAATAATTGTTGCAATAAATATTTTTTTTTTAATTCGGATTTTTTATATATATATATTTTAATTTTTTAAAACCTTAACCTCATCCCTTTACATTCATTATATGCCTTAATTTTATACTATTTATGTTTTTTAAAATTCTCTTTTTAAATCCCTTATTTTGGCCTTTTAATTATATGGTGCCAGCCGCAAAAAAGAGAAAAAAAGGTAATCATGATATTTTTTTTTTCATGGGGATTTGGAATATTTTTTTAAAAAAGATTTCAAATAAAACGTGGATTAATCCCCTGGTTTTCCGAATCCCACATGAATCCGATGAAACCTAGAGGTTCAAGAATATATTCCTATCGGATGGATAATGGTCATTATACTCTTCATGTACCATAGTTGACTATAAACTAACAAAAAATAAATAAATTGTTTTTAATCATTTCAGATTGTTTAAACAATAATTTGTAATATTTATAGCTTTTACATTAATCTTATTGGGGTATTTTTTTGTAATTCAATTATCTATCATATATAATTTTATTATTAATAAATAATAAATTTTAATATTTTTTTATTTATTTATTAAATTAAATTTATGTTATTTTATAAAGTGGGTTTTTATAGCAATAAATAATATATTAAATAAGAAAATTTGTCTTTACCTAGATTCTCTTTGGTTTGAACTATTCGTTAATTAATAAATAAGTTTATCATTTATATATAAAAAAAGTTAGATAGCCTTCTGAAACTATAAACATGTGTATAATGAACAAATGTTTAATTATGCTTCGATAAAAATATTTATTTCATAATACATGGTAAAAATCATTAAATATTTATTTTATCTGATTTTCAATCAAAACGTGGTATATTTGATATTAGACTTAAAATACAACTCTATTCCAGTTTTATTTTAATTGAGATTATATATAGATTGGAATATAATCTCTTTATTTTTCACCCTAATTTAAAAATTATGAAAGATAATATTTTTCTGACTTCTCAGGAATATCATGACACATTAAAATGTTCAGAATGTATTTTTTGCGTATGATATCGACTAGTAGAGGATATTCAAATTTTTGACTGCTTTATTAATAAAATATATAAGTCTTTGGTTAGGTAGTGGCAGGGGATCCATTAACTTTATATATCTCGATTAAAATACCTAAAGAAAATTACCAATTTGTCAATAATAATTTTAGTTTTAAGGTTGATGTTGAACATCGGGAATAGGTGGTGAAAGTAATATCTATAATATTTTGGGTGTATCAAAGGTTAATAAAAACATAATTTAAATTATTAATTAATGTTGGTTCGTTAGGTAAACTTCTTTGTTCATATAGATGAAGCCTCGATTCAAAACACGATAAAATTTTCAGTACCAAATTAATTATATAAATATTTCTACTATTTCAAAAACACAAAATATTTAGAAATCAAAATCTAAAAATGAATTTCAGAGAATAAATATTTTA